GAGAGATTCATGATTATCATAGGATCTGATAGCAATGTTGCTGTTTGGTTCAATATGGCAGATACTGTTCTAATGGTTATCAGTATTCTGATCAGCAACATCAGTAGTGCTGACCACTAGATCAGTTAAGTTCTCAGATACTGATACTACATTTTCAGCAGTAACATTTACCTATTAAATATACAATGTAAGAAATTATAGTACAAGTATATACCAAGTCTTTATTATTATTTACCTTTGAAATATTCCTAAATTGATTAGATATCACAGTAGTTGCACAGGATTCTATACCAGGTGATTCCCAAGTACTATTATTAGTACATGTTCTATTAGCAGTAGTACCACTAGGACCATTAGGACATGATATATTAACTGTACTGTCTGGCATTGTCTCTGGCCATTCAAATGTACCACGATCACTACTAGCTATAGTTTCCATGCTGCAAGCAACAAGATCTAAAAGATTGCATGTATATATATATATATAACAGCAATACAACTTGAAAATTTTATAACAAAGTGATTTGCAAGATTTCATTACACAAATAATTATAATGGTATTATAAAAAATTATGGTGAATCCCCCATTAACAAATTTATTAGCACTGTTACCAAGAGTACATGCTGTTACTCACCAGTACAGTTGATTCCCTCATACCCAGTACCAGTACAGTCACAAGTGTAGTTGCTAGCAGGTGAATACTGTATACACTGGCCTCCATTCATACATGGACCGTTTGCTCTTTCACAGATATTGAGATCTAAATATTGAACAAATGATACCACTAAAGTACTGTCATTATACACATAGCCAATAGCTCTCCATGTTTATCTAGTAAATTAGTTATGACTTTATACTTAAACATAATGAAGCAAACATGTATGTGTAGGCATGCACATGCACCAGTCAGTTGCACTGACAGTGCAAAGTAAACAAACTTGCAGCTCACACAAGAGTCCAACGTACTGTAACAAATAGATCAGTTACATTAATTTTAATGCATGCCCAATTGCCCAATCCACTCAAAGCACTCACCAGTGCAGTTGACTCCCTGGTATCTAGTACCAGTACAATCACAAGTATAATTATTATGAGGTGAATACTGTATACACTGTCCTCCATTCATACATGGACTGTTTGCTCCTTCACAGATACGGAGATCTAAAATTAATATTGAACAAAAAATACCACTAAAATATAGTCAAAAT